GATGAGTACGGCAGATATCAATGTAAAATCATTTGACAGTCAGGGGAATACTTTCGGTTTTATTATGAAAACTTCAAGACTGGCAATACTGTTTTCACCCCGTGAGGGTTGACGCCAACTTTACATGGACGCTGCCGTCAATAGAAATTAATAGGGGAAAGACGTAGTATATACACGTTCTCCTGGCAAGACTTCAAATCATCTTCATAATATCTACCAAACTATAGATCCTACACATCCACTGGACCTGGATTCTAAAATTACAACATACACTTCTCGCTAGAAATCTAATCAAAAAGCATTTTAATGGCCAAACTATTCTACAATTTAGGATTTTCCAGAGAGGGTTTCCCTCCGGAGCGTTTGCATTCAACGGGAGCATCAGCCCATATGCTGCAAATTGTTGTTTCTTACACGACCACTAAAGGTGCTAAACTTTAAAACGTGACTATAGGTCGTAATAAGCTGCTGAACAATCGACCTATTTGGTCATTTTTGGGAGGAGGACAGGGTGCTAGGGATGTGTATGGAGTTTCTTCCACCTTGAGGATCTGTCTGTTTGAGTGAAGGGAATTTAGACTAGAACTGTAGGCAGGAGCGAGAGAGAGAGGAAGAGATATGACACAATCCAAACTGAGATTGGTTGCTGTGTGATATCTTGTTTCTTAGCCCTACAGACTCAATCAATAGCTGCCAGAAAGGGAGAAGAAGGCTCTCTCTCACACACAACCGCACACACACACATTCACACACAAACGCACACACACACCTGTCAGTGTGGAGGAAATGTTCAAGCTAATGAGAAAAGCTTTAAGACATCTTTCTAGCTGTCCACTTCAGGAACACGTGGACACATTGCCTATTCTTTCGTTTAGTGAAAATAATTCTTCATCCAATAAAATCTTTCAGATACAAACCAGATTTAACAACTTGCACAATATCTCTGTGATTGAAGAGAAACAATAACAATAGTTCTAATGATTATTTTAAATTGGCAAAAATAACATCCAGGTGATTTTTCAAATTAGTGTCAGTAGGTGACTTGAGGGGGTTAGGGTTAGCAAAAAGGCCATAATGCATGCCATGTGTCAACCTGCCATCTACCCCAGTAGTAAAGTGATTGTAGCTGAAGTTTAGCTGTAGATTATGATGAATCATAGAAATAATTATTCTTCCAAAAAAAGATGTCCCCATAAAAAAAGAAGCATCTGTAAAACTGTTGACCTGTTGACACTTGCACACAAGGCTAAGGTAACATATCAAGTTGTGTTTTTTGTTTCAAAGTGCGTAGCATCCAAATGTAAAATGTATGGGTTGAATCGAACATGTAAGTATCACAGAAGTTAGAAAACTGGGTAAGTGTATGTGTGTCCAGTCTTCAGCCTCAACTATACATTTGGATCCATTAGTGGCACTAGGGAGTAATGGCTACACTATTAAGCATCCAAACTGATCAATGTTGACATTTGCCAGAACAATTTTTAAGCTGTTGAATGTGCTACAGATGGTTAGTCAATTAGCTGGCCTATTCATCTAGCCTTCAAATGAATGTCCTCCATTGTGGATCTTTGGTAAATTGCTAATGGAGTATGCCGAGGTGGCGCCAAACATGTCCATTCCTGGAAATGAAAAGGAGACATTAGCTAGAAAGCATTGTCATTGAAAGTCTGCTCTTTGTGTGTAATGTTGTCGGTGACTGACAGCCACTAGTACAATTATCAAACAAGGGTTACTGTAACTGCAGTTGACTGCTATATGTACAATGGTAGGAGAAATCCGCCATGAAAAAAAAACGTGAATGGCACTCAGAAAATGCAGATCAATGTCAAGGCCAATGGTGCAGTCAGGCGTTCCTCGGATGGTACCATTTCCCAAATCGGAAACTTATTTTTTGAAATACCATTCAAACAACAATGCAAAAACAACAGGGTTGTATTTAATTTACATTTGTAGAGTGTTTAAACAGCATTTTGACAGCTGTTTCCAAATCGTTTTTTTGACTTGAGTTGGCCCTTATGTTATTTTGTCAGGGTTGAGTGAAGCAGGCAGGACCCAAATGCAGATTACACAGAAAATACCTTTATTTCAAGGTTTACACAGTGACAAACAGAACACTAACCCGTGAACACAGTCAAAGACAAACAAGGAACTAACAATGAAAGACAGAAAAAACAGAACTTAATTACACACAAGACTAATCAAAGAAACAAGAGACAGGTGAGGAGGGAGGAGAAAACACAGGGGCACCACGTGAACACAATCGGGTAATCAGACAGGAGGGAACACAGACAGAAAGCAACAGGCAAGACTGGGGTTACATACTGTAACCCAGTTTCTATGAGTATAGGCGCAGCCCTCTAAGGCTATCGCAATTGGTTAATCCCCACTGCACGTGTGCAGCACTGACAGACTTAATCCACGCCCACCTATGACGTGGGCCCCACCTCCAGGCTCACTTCCGTATAAATAGGAAGTAGGCCCTACCATCTACTCCCACTTTTCTTCAGCACTCCGTTGCAGAAGCATTGTCAGGCAAAAACAGTTCTGTTA